TGATTTTTATTTAAATCCTGGAGTTGACTAGTGGCCTTCTATCACCCACCTCAGCTTGGCTGAGCCACAGGCTCCCCAAGTTTTTGTTTTTCCTTTCTGTAGTTAGCCAGACCCAGGGTGGGGTGAGGATTTCCCCTTCAATCCTCTCCTGGTTCCCCAGAGGGCTGGGGTGGAAGGGAGAAAGTGGTTCATAGCAAAGGGGTGGTGGTAGCAAGGATACCTAATTTTCCAGTCACTTTTGCCCACAGGTGTGATTACTTTAGAACTGAAAGACCTCAGAGGAAGGCCTGGTTGGACCCTGAGGGCATCTTTTCCCTTATTACAGGTTGAATGGTTACTCTACAGTTACTAAGAAGAAAATCTGAGGACTTCATCAAGTTACAACTGCTTTGAAGACACAAGACTCACTAGGCCAGAGATACTTACTAATTTAAGCATGGTAGGCTCCTACAAGATGTGGCAAGCTTTTGCCACAGAATCAAAAGGATTTTTAAATTCTTCCATTTTGTCATCATCTTAAAAACTACCCCAGGCTCCATCTTATTCTCTTGAAAAAGAAAATATCTCTTAGAAAGTTAGATTGAAATCTTGATGCAGACAGGATCACTAAAAACTAACTCAATTTTCTATTTTACTATAAATGTATCTAATTTACACAAAGCAAATCCATGCAGCTTCCCTAACACAGGACCAGCCCACTAACTGTTGGCAAGCACATGTCTGCACACCTCAGCATATAGTTCAGTGTCTTCCCACAGCTGAGACAGTCTGAGAATAACTTAAGGTGCCACACCCTGGAAATGGTGTTTCCACTAATATCCTGCCTCAAAATACCATGTGCAGGCAATATAAGGCACATTGATATGAACTCCTGACCTCTGCTGCCATTTTTTTCTTCCCTTTTTTAAATGGATTGGTTGACAGGTCAACCTGGAGAGTGCAAAGCCTTGAAACTGGCCAGCCTGTGCTGATTAGGATTTGGGTCTTGTATTTCCATAGCTCGCCTGGCAGAAATTCCTTTCCAGTGGCTGCTGCTTCCAGGAAAGGCCTGGTTCCTTGCGTCTTCTCTTCACATTACGTTCTTAGAGTAGTTTACAACTCTCATACTGATCCTCACAGCTAACCCCTTTTTCAGATTCCAGCTCTTCAGCAATTACCCAATGGCTACATCTTGGTTACATGTATCTGGACAAATACTAGATAGCAGACAAGAAATACAAAAACAAAAATCCTTGATTGATAAGTCAAACATTAGACCATGTGACCACAGTTTCAAGAAGTTTAAAAAATGCTCAACAGTACAATGGGAAAGAAAAATATGCAGTGCATAGAATAACCACAACATAGTACACTCAGAGGCAGTTTTTATGTGTTGGATGGCTGGGGCCAGAATTTCAGTGGAGGGAACCACTACTCATGGCTCTTAAAATGCTGTGCATGGACATCAGTGCAGCACAGGCCCATCTGGGTATGCACCATCACAGGTCATGGTGAAGGGCAGCAAACTAGGCTGGAATGATTCCCTGCTGATTCCAGGCTGCAGGAAGAGCACGGCAAAGTAGTTGCGAGGATGTGGCCGGCCTTGATTTACCTGACACCAAACTGTGAATCAGCCAACTACATTTTAGCCAAGTATGCACTGCAAGCATAACTTCTATGGTCAGTTTATGGTTTGGTGTGTCACGTAAACCCAAATAATTTGGTTAACTGAAAAAGCATTACCATGATACACAAATGCAGCTGAAGAGTAGCAGTGGGGCAGAGGTGTGCATGTGAAAAGAGGTCAATACTTTGGCTAAGCTATCCAACGTCATGAGGAAAGAGGTTGTATTCTGATGAGCAGCATGTTTAAAGTTCTTCAGCAAAAGCAGGTAACTGCAGACCACTAAGAGCTCAGTATTATATAAATCTTATAAGTTAATAAATGACAACTGCAGTCACAATACAGGAAACTTTGCTGTTGCCAATATTACTAAACCTGAAAAAGATCTACCATGTCATCAACCAGGGTGGGGAACCTGCAGTCCTCCAGATGTAGCTAAATGATAACTTCCAGCAACCCCTGCCAGCATGCCCAGTGGTGACAGATGTAAGAGCTGTAATTCAGCAGTACCTAAAAGGGCAAAAGTTCTCCACTTCAATATAAAAAACACTAGCCCCCTTTTAATTCCTAGAGTGCTCCTTATTTCTTCAAGGCTACATGTCATGATTTTTGTAGGAACACTGATAGCAAATGTATCACATGTAGGATGCAGACTTTTAAAATTGCATGTATTCACAGCTGGGATTCTCACTGACCTGGATCATGTATAACTTGAAGGCCGAATTCACCCTAAATCACAGCATTAACATTGGTTTAGCATACTGTGTGAACCTAGCCAATTATAGCATATTCTACAGTATAAACCAAATTCTAGCAGCTTTGGCTTAGTATAATTCTGCAAACCTTGGTTAAAATCCTAGTTTAGTACAACATGTGAACCAGACCTTTGTTTTTGATGGCATTAGTCTAGAAACAAGTCCTTGGAAAACCACTAAAACATACTATAACGCAGGACCAACATCATACTGTAAATGAGGGATATGTAACTTTTCTAGGCCGTGGAGTGATTAGCTGGAGGCCGTATATCAAAAACTTACAGTTTAATTTAATTACATTTATATTTAAATAAAGTGAATATAATTAAACTTCAGTCATGTATTTAATACATCCCTCTTCCTCTGCATTTGAAATATAATTATGTAACAATTTTAGAGATCCCTAAAGACACCTACAAGGATTTAGGGAGCTCCGTTACTGAGACTGAAGTATAGCAAAGATCCACAATCTTTCTTCAGATCACTTAGTCAGATCCAACATGACTTCCCCTTTCTGTAGTCCTTCCATGCCACACAGTATTTGATATTTGTTATTCCATTCTACTGGTTATCTCAACTATCTACCATCTGTTCATTTTGTAATAACAGATTAGAATAATTGTTTCCTCTATAAGCTCATATTAAAGTGGATATGCATTTGGAAAAGAGGGAAGACTTGCTCCTTTAGCTTTATGCTAAACCACAGGAAGACAAAAAAGAACATAGTGCAAGTCAAAAAACTGAGCAAATACTTCAAGTATGGGAAGGGTAGCAAAAATGCACCCTTCCACTCCATAATGCTGAAATGCATTAAAGTAGTGTTTCTTAAAGTGTGGTCCAAGGATGCTGAGTGGTCCCCCCAAGACCCTCTCAGGGGTTCAGGAAATCAAAATTATTTGCCAGACATTGAAGTTATTTGCAAAAATGTAAAACAATGTCACTCTTCTCAATATTATTATTTGTTAAAAAATAGGGTTTTTTCATGAAAAGTATTTTATTTATGTTAATATCTATTGGATTTAATATTTTTTTGCATGATTCAATAAATATTCTATGCATGTGTCAATTTTAATTTTTAATATGGTAAATATTGATAAATGTAACCCATACAAACAAAATATCTTTTGGGGTCCTCCATAATTCTTAAAAGTGGGGAGGGATTCTAACAGCAAAAAATTTAATAAACACTGCATTAAAGACTAGCTTTACCAAACAGTCAATTAACAGACATGTCCTGAGATTATAGATTAGATTAGAGGCACAATGATTTTTCAGATAAGTTGATAAGTCACTTCAGAAAACAAAACACATCCAAATACACTTTTGAAATCCCATGAAATTCAATGGAATGTATAGACTAGGTACACATATTATGTTAAATCAAAATTTAACCAAGATTGAATAAACCATAAAAACTATTAAAATAGTAAGTCATGAACCATGGATGTGGAATGGTTCACACCTGATTCATGCTTGGCCTTTAAGGTATTTTTATTGTTGTTAACAGTTACTTTCCAATCACATATTTAACCATTTCCCCTTTTTGCCATACTAAAAACTGCAACTTTGAAAATGTTTTTAGAGTTCTTTGGGGGCTCACATTCAGAACCTTAAGCCACTGCATTCAGTTCTAGGGCTTCTGCCACAAACTATGATTTGCAAATTTGAGTGGCAAGTGACAATCACACAATAACACCAAGCCAAAAACAAATTACGATGAGACAGGCCACAAGCCGCAGACTTAACACCCTGTATTTGCTTATCTTTAATTCCAATGTTAATGACAGTAGAATATTTGGACTGCAAAAATCTGGGCACGCAATAAACAGAACTCTACTCTCATCTAGTGTTGTCTGGATTTTTGTAGCCCTAATAGTCGCCTAGAATTCATAACAAGGTTTGCTCTTTAATGCTATATGTACGGGGATACATACACACACATATATACATACATACACACACACACACATAATTATAAATTGCCACAACCAGGCACAGCTTTCACAGTCACCAGTGAATTGTTCCTGCACAGCTAAACCCCTGTGTGTGTCTGCGAGTCAGTTTTTGACTCCTGGCGACCTCCCGGACTAGTCTCTGCAGTTTTGTTGGCAAAGCTTTTCAAAAGTGGTTTGCCATTGCCTCCTTCCTAGGGCACAGAGAGAGAAAGAGAGAGAGAGAGAGAGAGAGAGACTGGCCTTTATGCTGGGGTGGAAAAACCTAAGCCCGTTGACCTGAAGCGGTTTACGGGTGCCTAATTTTGCACAGGACGGACGGGGCTGCAGAAACGGCTATGGTGCAGACGCAAACCTCCAGCCAGTCTCTCAGCAAAAGCTGCCCGAGAAGCCTCCCGTTTTCTGAACGGAACAGAGCGACTAATGAAAGCTTTTCCCATTTCCCGGCTCCAGAAGCGGTGTCACAAGGACGGCGGCAGGAGGGGGGAGTGAGCAGGTAGGAAGGAGGAAGTTAAAGAGTTGAAAGCTGGAGGCGTTTACAAGAGCAAGTTTATCGAAGGTGGGGGTGGGGCTACCTCATCGCGGCAGAGGTGAATGCGGGGATGGGGGGGAGGCGGCCACTGAGAACTCCCGCTGAGGGAGGTCGATCTGTTCCCCCCCCCCTTTGACCCCAACCTCCAAATGCCTTACCTTGCCGAGGTACAGCAGAAACGGGAAAAAAACCTGCGCCAGTCTCCTCATGGTGTCCGGCGGCGGCGACGGCAGCTCGGGAATGCGCGCTCACTCAGCGCCGCTGTATGTAGTCATGGCAGAAACTCTCCTACCCGCCCGCCAAAAATGAAAGACAGGAGGAGGGAAACGGAGAGGCAGCGCTGCTTCCGTCTCGCACCCTTCTCCAAGTAGCCCTCCGCAGCGTTTCTCCCGCGGCCGCTGGGAGAACTCAGGGACGGCGACCGTCTGGGGAGGGCAAAGAGTCAGCCACCGCCCCTTTCTGACCATTCATCGCTTCCTCCACGCTGCTGCTGCTGCTGCTGCCGCCGCTGTTTGCAGAGGACAGAAATTAAGCCCCACGTTGGCGGCAGTTAAAGGATTGGCTTTCAGCGTTTGCTGCTGGGAGCGGAGTAGGAAGTTGTTCGAGCCCGCATCCTCTCCCTCCTTCCTCCCCGGACTGGGGTTTGGGTGGAAGTGGCTCCACTAAAGCTTTTTGTCCCCCCCCGCCCGTTCTTCCTTGCATAAATTATTTTCTGTGTGGGGGATTTCAAAATGCCGCTGGATGGGGATCTTCCGGTTTGCCTGGAGAGTGGGAGTGATATTACCCGGATTGCGACTGGACGACTAGGATCTTGGGAGGTAAACTATTGCACTCAGAGTTGAATTCATGCATTGTAGTAAAGCATAAATTTTGCCTGGTTTAGGCTTAGTGTGTGACTGAGTGATATGATTCAGTAAGTCACCAAACAACCCATGACTCAGGGTGATGTGCAAACTACCCAATGGAAGGAGCTTGCAACAGAAATTTGCGTAAAACGGTTGCAGTATATCATTTCATGAGCATTTCAAAAATGTCAAGTTGCCAGGTCATGTGCAACACTTTGTGAATGCATCCATGCCAATTTCTGGCACCAATGTAGGAGCGGTTTGCCACTGCCTTCTTAGCTGGAGTTAAATCTCTTTGAATTGAGGGGCACACTGTGCCACAAGCTGGCCTCATCTCATGTGCCACAAGAGCTGGGTTTGCCAAACAGGGAGGTTGACTATTTTTGTGGTTTAGTGTAATGTGCCAACATGCTACTTCTGAGAAGTCATGTGTAATGTTAGGTGCCATTGACTCAAGCCTGACCCTGGCCATTCTATGGACAAATATGCTGATCCCAGCAACAATCCACAGGTCTTCCAAAGTCATTTCATGTTGTCCATTTCATCCATGGTCTTCTCTATTTCCCTAAAACAAATACAATCATTTTTCCTAATCTGTCATCCATTTGCCTCATATAGTGAGTTTTTAGCTGTTGATCATTGTCTCAGAGTGAGCAGTCAGCCTTTATTTCCTGCTTCTTGCAGGGCCATGATATTCCTAGCAATCTTGCCAAATCCATAATTCAATTATGCTTATATTTCCCTTGTTCTTTCTCAATGCACAGCTTTTTACAGCCATATATTATCATTTGGAAAGTCACCACTTTAGCTATCAAATTTATTTCCATCAAGTATGCATAAGATTGCAGCCTCATTCATTTCTTGTAACAGACCAGCTGTAACAGAAAATTGTGGTTGGAAAATGATCAGAAAATGACTCCACTGAGTTCAAGGAGATTTTTCTTCTAAACAAATATAACATTGGGCAACAGAAAGGACCAGCAGTAGGCTTCAAAGCCTCTTTGCACCCTTTTTAATAGGGTGCAGGTTTAGAATTTTTTTAAATGCTCATATTACCATACATGCCACCTTTAGATTTCACTTCTGTTTTTTTTTTTGTCATAAAATAAAAGGAAGCAGACATGTGTGGCCAATCAAATGAGAAGTCTGCAGTACTGTTACACTGTCCTTGTACATCTTGCTTCAAATTTTGTACAAAAGGAATTTAAAGAACATGTTTTGATGTTTGGCATTCTAACAACTTTAACATAGAATAGAAGTCTGGGTGAAATGTGAACAATTTGGCAGTCTAGTTAGTTGTGCAGGACTAATTATCTGTAGTTCATTTCACCTGGGCATTGAATATAACCCAGTTCCTCTTGATCAGTGCCTGGTTTCATAGTCAGAATCTTTAATTAGAAAATATTGACATAATAAGACAAAACAAAGAAGCTGTTGTACCTTAACAAATTGCCTTAGGGTTTATTAACTATGCCCCCTTTATCTGATACATATGCCACACTGGCACAAGAAGGCTGACCTATGATTCTTCTCCATGGTAGCTGACTCAGAAGCTCAAAGAAGAGCTGACTGAACTTTGGACTCTGATTCTGTTTTGGTAATGAAACAGAACTGGAGTTCTGTGGCACTGAGAGCCTGGAGGAGGAGAGAAGTAGAGTGGGGAAGCCCGCACTTGATGCCAGCAGAAGGCCTGTGGGATCTGAGGACTGGAACCAAAGGAGTTGTTCTTTGTTGCTCTTCTCCTCCCTGTTCCTCCTACCATCCATGGCAAGAGGAATGGAGAGAGAAGGCCCAGTCCCTGCTTTTCTTGCCAGGGGTAATGGCTGAAGTGGGGGACGGGAAGAGTGAAAGGAGCACGCCTTGGGAAGCTGCTCTGCCATCTTTAGCCACAGAATGCAGTGGCACAGCTGCTTCTCCCAGCTTAAAATGTCCTCCCCAGTGGCAGATGTTTTAAATGTGTCACCTCTGGCTTTGACATCCCTCCAGTACAGCCACCAACCAACCCACAGCTTCAGAAAAGAGGGGAGGCATTTTAAACACCTATCCAGCTTCAGCACACTGATGTGGAACTTGTGAGGACTGTTTGGGATGTATGAACAGTCCCCTTCTACACTGCTGGTCCACATCAAAGTGGTACCTGTTCAATACTTTACCACAAGGCCAGTGTGTGCATGGATAAAAAAAAGCTCTCAGGCCTTCTCCACTTAATCCACAGTGGAGGCTGGCCTCTCAACCACAGGGGAAGCACTTCCGCAGGTAGCAGAATAGCAGACCTGTGGGGGAACCAAGTCTTTTGGATGTCAGGAGAACTGGCATCCAAAAAACCAGCTTCCTCTCCTCTCTTCTTGCCCCCCACAGGAGGCAAAAGGAGCATGGGGGAAGGCCCAGGAAAGCTGCTCCCTTGCTTCCAGTTCTTCAGTCCACTTGGAAAAGTGGCAGCAAATGACCCTCTTCTTCCATGTCTGCTTTCCAGGGCCAGAGGGAGTTCTCCTGGCAAGAACAAGTTCATATTTCCCTCCTCTCCCAGTTTCTCCTGCCACCTATAGGAGAGAAAGGCTTTTGGCACAGTGGGAGAGTCCTGATTTTCTGCAGCCAAAAGACAAATGGCCCTGAAAATCAGTGTCTAGGACCAAAAGGGAGAGTCGCTTCAGGAGCCTCAGGTAGCCAGAAAGAGCAGGACGTGACTCCATCCTTCCACTTATCTCACAGTGATTCTATGCAGACTGACCATTTAGAATAGCTTGTGCTGTGGAAGTGGAAAAACTGTACTTCTGAAGTGGAGCAAGGAAAGACAGGTATAGGCTACAACTGCAATGGGCAAGGGACAGACTGAGGATCATGTCCTATGTTGATGTCCTCAAGAAATGATTAGTAGGGATCTTCATGCTGGGTAAAACAGGATGTGGGGATGTATCCCTAATATGGCTGAAACCATGGAAAGTGACTTACCTACTGATCTAGAACCACATTATATCAGAAACCAATGACTGCACAAATTATAATGGGAGTAGCCATCTCTGCAAAGGCTTTATGATTTATTTTTTCATTTAATAAAATGAAATCTGCAGTGTCTTGATTGGAGTTAGAACTACAGTGAAGCTTCCCATAGCCTTCCTCCGTCTCAAATTCATTAAGGAGAGAGACTGAAAAGGCCACTCTAGCTTCTCATATTTGTCCTCAAAAGCCAGAAGGGAAAATTAAACTCAGCCTTCCCTTCTGAGGTCAAACAACACAAGGACTTCAAAATCAGATACTGTAAGTTAACATACCATTATTGAGAGCTGCCTTGGGGTTAATTTGGCCATGATCCTGACCAGAAAGTGACCAACCTGTAGGATTCACATTATATACTTGCCAATTTGCGCAACATGCTTAACTTTGCTACTAAATTAACCCAATTTAGTAGAGGGGTTCACACAAACCATTAAATTATAAATGAATTAAATGGCTGGATTTGCATAACACTAAAATATATTTAGCTAATTTGTAGGTCATGGCTGTATGTGCACAGTTACTGAACAGCTAATTAGCCAACCCCATTTTACCCAATTTTGTGGTAGGCACACAACCCATATGATCAGCTTATTGTTCAGTATATTTTCTGGGGGTAACCAGAAAATTGGGGTAGTTAACACATTCATTTAACCATGGGTAAGTATCTAATGAGAACACAGCCTTAGATTTAGTTTGAGGTGCAAAGTCAACAAGCATAGATTCATGGAAAGTTTAAATAATTAGATTCACAGATTTCATTATTTGATTTGCTTAGTTTTGGCTTAGCATTTTGTATGAGCACATCAGTTCCATGGATTTTTTGTTTAACTGCTGGTTTTCATGCCCTAAGCATGCCAGGCATTTTTATTTAACTTCCTCCCAGGTAAATAAATGAATAGTAAAGCCTATGGTATGTTAATTTTGCCATGTGTTTGTCATTAATAGGCAGCTGTTTGTCATCTTGGAATATCTTTGGTGTTCTGTGTTTGGAAACTTTATCGAAGTAGCTAATTATATTTCTTTCCACTGTTACTTGATTTCTCCATCACCCATCATCACTAATCTTAATAAAGCAACTCAATCAAAACATTGGGTTTTGTTATGTTTTTTGACAGATCAAGAACCTTTCCCCTCTGTTCCAGATTCAAGCTGCATGCTTTACTCAAGAGAAGACACAAAGAAAACAAGTTCACTTTGCAGTGGCTGAGAACTGTAACTGTTTGTTGTCCCCTCTAGGTAATTTTTGCAGATCTTATGGTCCCCCCAATCTAGTTTGAAGAGATGGACAATGGTTACTTGGCAAAATAAATATTTGGAGAAGTATAGCAGGCTGCTGTCCTAATGGACAATTGTAGAGTCCCACTTCCCATGCAGTGAATATACAAAGAAACTTGGAGGCTTCTGTATGCTTTTTACTAATTCTCTGTGTTTGCATGACACACCACATCACAGAGTAATCAAAGGTATTTTAGCTAGCATGTCATGGTTTATGGTTCAATGTGATGTGCAAACTGAGTAACCAACGGTTAAGTTAACCATAAATAACCATGACATGCTAACATAACCAATAATTTTCTGATAGCACTGTTGAGAGATAGTAGAAATGCAGAAGAAATGTGGTATCAATCAGTTTTGTAACAGAGCATTCTTTAATTGGTTTCACACAAAGGAGACATAGCTTACTATGGTTAGTTTGTGGTTCTACAGCTGTATTTCTGTGATACATATGTGGAAGAGTAGGCTGCTTAGCAAAATTGCAGGCATCTGTGCTGCCTTCTTCCCTCCCATCTGAGCTTTTCCCCCAGTGTCAGCATGGCAGAGTTGCCAGTAAAGCTGCAACCTTGATACAGCTGTGGGAGGAGACAGAAAGAGATGTATGTTTTGGAGTTCGGCAGCCACCAGCAAACAGAGTACAAACAAAAGAAGGTGTTTTTCCTTCAGAAGGAGTGGATAGTTTATTTTATTTTATTTTATTTTAATCTGCGCTCAGTCATTACTGACTCTGCAGTGACTGCTTGGACGAATCCTTGCAGTTTTCAAGGCAAGTATTTCGGAAGTGGTTTGCCAGAGCCTCCTTCCTAGAGCAGAGGCCAGCTGGCATGCACAGGAGGCGGGGTTTCCGTTGCTTTGCGCCCTTTTCGGGCAAGCACGGTTTTCACGTTTTATCGGCAACTGCTCCTGACTCCTTTCCAAGGCGCCGCCAGCATTTTTCCTCCCACCGGAGTGA